CATGATCACTGCAGATGGTGACAGCAGCCACGAAATTCAAAGATGCCTGCTTCTTGGAAGGAAAGCAATGATAAACCTAGACAGCACCTTAAAAAGCCACCCTTTCCCTCCCCCCACCTTAATTCAGTTTCTTTTTTGCCTGCCTGCCTGTTCATTTTCAGTTTTGAGCCAGTCTCTGTCACTCTCTCTCTCTCTCTCTCTCTCACACACACACACACCCACACACACATACACACACATACACACACATACATCCTCCATCCACCCACCCTCCCTCCATTTTGTACATTTAAATAAGCTTGATGAAGTCCTCGGTCTCTCGCACCTTTCTTCCCTCCTTTCCCTTGCTTGCTCCTTGATCCTCTCGCCCATCCTGCTTGTTTGCAGTCATTTCCGGAGGAAGCAGTCATTCAGAAGCCCCGGATTGATTGGTTGCCTGGGGCTAATCCCCAGCTGCAACCAATCAAGGGGCTTATCTCCCGATCTCTAACAAGGGAGGATTTAGAAGTGCCCTGCTGCAACGAAGGGTGTAACAGGGAGATGTGGTTTACATTTTGAGCTTTGGCTGCACAGGGTGGGGGTGGGAGGGAGGGAGGGGGTAGCACTCTGCTCATTACCCCCAGGATTTTCACTTTTACCCAATTTGGGGTAATTTACCCCCGTTTCCCAAGCTGTGCTCTAGATGTATTGGTATACCTTTCTTCCTGTTAATGCAAAAATACTGATTTTAATGTTAACGCATTAAAGCTAATGTCTTAGTTCCATGCTGTGCTCACACTTTGCCAAGGGGTGTAGTACAGACAGCAGCTGTGTGAACACTGCATTTGTGCATAGTAATAGCACTGCATAACAATAGACTCTAACTTCTTGTATCTTTGAGGCTATTCTTCCTTCCAGAATTCAAACTATATTTTATGACCATGAAGCACAAAAGAAGGGTACTCTTGCTTCTTTTTAATTGTCCTTAGAAAACTTTAATACAGTGGTACCTCGACTTAAGAACTTGATCCATATTGGGACTGCTTTCTTAAGTCGAAACGTTCTTAAGTCGAAGCACTATTTCCCATGGGAATGCATTAAAAACCGATCAATGCATTGCGAGGGAAGAAAAAAGGCAAAAAGGCAGGGGAAAGGGGCTGTAAATTTGAATTTCAAGCCCTTTCCCCCTGCCTTTTTGCCTTCAGAGGTCTCAAAGGGCTTCCTCCAATGTCAGGGGGAAAGCCCTTGGAGACCTCTGAAGGCGCTGATCGCTCCGTTTGCAAAAATTGGCATCAACTTGCGAACGGAGCCTTGACCTCAGAAAGCAAAAAGGCAGGGGAAAAGGTCAGGAAATTTGAATTTCCAGCACTTTCCCCCTGCCTTTTTTATTCGTAGGTCAAGGCTCCGTTCGCAAGTCTATGCCAATTTTTGCGAACTGAACCGTTCGTAAGTTGAAATGCTCGTAGGTTGGGACGTCCGTAAGTCAAGGTCCCACTGTACTGGTTTCTGTACTTGGGAAACCCACTAAGTTTAAGAATTTCCTAGACCATTTCACCATTGCATGATGACTCTCTTACCTGATATGACTTCCAGGAGTAACATAAGCTTAAGGCCATCCCTGAAATCTTCTTCTATGTTCTCAATCTGTGTGCCTGCCTTGCGGAGGTGAGAATTGCACCACGCTGTAAATGTCTGGAAAGAGATGAAGGGATAGAAGGCCATGAAACAATTCATCCTCTAAGATAACTCAACAGAGGTACTGAAAAGAAATCTGTAACATTTCAGAAGCATGGATGCTGTGATTTACTGATTTTGTGTTAGGGTATAATTAGATTCATCAGTTCTTCACATAATAGTTCCACAGGGCAGAAAACCTGTGCAGACAAAAAAGGCTATTGCTTGTACATGAATAAATAAAGTTCTTGCAAAAAAAAAAAAAAGACAATCTGCTGTTCAGCCTGAAGGTACTCTATAGATCCAAAAGCAACTACACCCTCATAGAAGGGTTCTTGCACTTACTTGTCTCATACAAAATTACTGCCTTCTCATCAAAGAGAAGTCTCCTATTGCTATGCCACAAATTACAGTGATGGCCACCAAGTTACAAGAACTGGATCAACTCAAGGAGAATAAGGCTATCGATAGTCATTGGAACTATATACTGTCACCAGTGTCTGAGAAAGTATGCTTCTGGATGCCAGTTGCTAGGGAACACAAGCAGGAGGTCTCATATTGCTCTCCTGCCACACAATTACAGGAAACTGGTCGGCCAGGATGGCAACACAATGCTGAACCAGGCAGCTTCTTCTTATATATATATATATACATTACATATTATTAAACAGCTGAATGGAATGGAGGTAGCCACTCTTGCTATCACACTGGGAGGGAGAAAGCTTTTCTTCCTATTACCCTGAGTCACAAGAGACAACTATTGTTGACCTTCTTTCTCATGGTCTGCTGTCCTAAAACAATCCTTCTTCCTTCAAGGCCAGGTCTATGGATTAAGATTATAAATATACTTTGGCAAGTTATCTTAGTTCAAGGATCCAGATTTTTATTCATAACAGTTTTTGACTGAGTGCTCATGAGCCAACCATCAGTCTGTTTTAAATAAGCAGCTTTAATTTTAGTATTTTGCAACCACCATGTTTAATTTTCCACATGCTAAAGTGCAAGGCAGCTCTTTACAAGCAATGGGTGCCAACTTTCTGGCTCTTGACCACTGGCCATGCTGGCTAGAGCTTCTGGGAATTGAAGTCCAACAATTTTGTGAACCCAAGCCTGGAATCCACTGCCCTGATGCTGCTTCATATCTGTGGAACAAATAAAACCTAGAGTAATCATGTGCTCCATGCAATTTGTCTCTTCTTAAGAGCAGTAAAAGCCATTGAATATTGTTTGATCAAGCACGACAGCTGTTTCAATGGAAGAGTCAATGCTTTCCACGTAAGAGGAGAGGGGAGAGACATTATACAACATCTCTGCTAGAAACAGGACAGTTGTGTTATAGTGGAGAAGTATCTGAAGTTAATCACCAAGGAAAAATTCTACAAAGACAATGGCTTGGAAATCAGTGAGAGATAAAATTATGGCTCCACAAAATACAGGCTCAGATTTCTCTAGCCTGGACAGGTTTGAAAGAAGAAGAAAGTACAATGAAATGAAAGTGAAGTATTAAAATTGGAGGCTCGTTAACTGGTTCTTAATTAGCAGAATGCTGAATGGACTAAAATTAAAGATTTGTGCCTGCAGTTACCATTCAAAAGCACTCTGGTACAGTAGCTGAAATAAGGCCAAGTAACGGAAACATGAAAACAAGCAAACACACTTTACACACCTATTGATAGTAAGGATTCTTTTATAGCTATAGCCACTTCAAGCTCTGCACTTCTAAGACTGTTGTTAAAATGAAATCACGGTGTGAGAACAACTAGAAAAACAGGGGTTTTTAATTTAATTTTTGTAAATAAAATGCACAAACATAAAAGTAGTAGTTGTGGGTTTTTCGGGCTGTTTGGCTGTGTTCTGAAGGTTGTTCTTTCTAACATTTCGCCAGTGTCTGTGGCCGGCATCTTCAGAGGAGAGGAGTCAGAACTCTGTGCTCTGGTGCAGTTTGTTTGTATAGTTGAGTATTTATAGCTGTGGGATCAGCTTTTGTCCTTTTCAGGAGATGGGTGATTGTCGTGATCAGCATGTTTTTTGTTGTGGGTCTGTTGTGATAAGAGGGAGAGATTATATGACACTGTGATTGATGGGTATCATTACCTGGTCTTTTGTGTGCAGCGATCACAGGTCTTTGTGGCTGGGTAGAGTTCATTGACCTTTTGCAGGCTGTATTTTTCAGTGCTGGGAGCCAGGCTTTGTTGAGTTTTAAACTTTCTTCTTTTTTGTTGAAGCTCTGCTGGTGTTTGTGGATTTCAATGGCTTCCCTGTGCAGTCTAACATAATGACTGCTGGTGTTGTCCAGTACTTCAATATTTTGAAATAGAATTTCATGTCCAGCTTGTTTTAGGGCATGTTCACCTACTGCTAATTTTTCCGGTTGTTTTAGTCTGCAGTGTCTCTCATGTTATTTGATTCTGGTGTGGATGCTGCATTTTGTGGTTCCAATATATACCAGGCCACAACTGCAAGGTATCCGGTATACTCCTGCAGTGGTGAGGGGGTCCCTTTTGTCCTTTGCTGACCGTAACATTTGTTGTATTTTTGTGGCGCGTCTGAATACTGTTTACAGGTTGTGTTTTTCAAAAAATTTCCTGATGCAGTCCGTGACAGTATTCAAGCACAACACAAAAATACAACAAATGTTACGGTCAGCAAAGGACAAAAGGGACCCCCTCACCACTGCAGGAGTATACCAGATACCTTGCCGTTAAGTCCAGGTATATATTAACCGGTATATATTAACATGGTTTTAGAAACCTTTTTAGTAGGTATTCTGTCAAAACAAGGATTACACAACTGAGGAAGCAGGATGGTCTAATGATGTTTCTGCAGCCAAATGCGTTAAGACTTTTATTTCTATAATAAAGTAGTTGATTGACATTGTTCAACCATTCCGCTGACCATGGTCAATAACATTAAATCTATTGCAGCTAATCAGGAAGACGCACATTCTGCTTGATTTAAATACTTGCTTTATGTTTTCATTTGTATCATGTTGCCATTTGTTAGAAAGGGCAGCAGTCATTGCCCTTTTCAAGTCTGTGTGCACCAGACTGTCCTATATCTGCAAGTTATATCTACACTTAGTGGAAGATGCTGCCCTCATCTTCTCTCCTGGAATATGACTATTTATTTCCCAGTACTCACTGAGGCCATTTGGGAGTCATGTCAGCCAAAGAGAATTCGATTCTCTATGTGAATCAGCTTAATTAAGAAGCTTGGAAAAGTTATTTTATTGTCCAACGGCCATGCTGTCCTGGATTCTGTGAGTTGTCATGCAAACTTTTCCCAATTCTGTATAATGCTGTTTAATGTCACTCATGCACATTTCATCCATAATTGTGCTCCTGAATAGCTGCAGTATAGATTATGAAACAAAGTCTTAAACATTATTGGTGCAGAAAGTGGAAACAACATGCTTGAAAATCAAAGCAGAGGTTAAGTGTAAATCGAGTTCATTCCACCAATATATACAGCTCTGACTTTTGATTGTGGGTTTCTTCTAACTGAAATATCACTTAGAAGGTACCGTATTCCTTATTCTCACAATCCTGATATGATGTCTTTCAAATCATCATATTCTTCCTCACAAGCTGTATAAATCATAGCTACTTGCTGAACCAACAAAATGTAAGAAATCAAGAAATACTGCCAAGCTTTCTGCAGAGGGTATGGTAGATATATGTTTTGGTGAGGAAGGGACCTTTGGAAACAGAAAGTCTGTAGAAAAAAGCCAGACTCAGATTCCTTTGAAAACCATGACAAGAACAAAAAGTGGTGACAAGGGGAACACCAAAATCTATCTTTTCTGAGATTCTTGGGAGCAAATGAGTAGCTCACCAGAAATAATTAACAACAATCCTTGGGCTCAAGCATGATGCAAACTGGAGACCTGAGCCAGTTACCCTCTCCTACACTAACCAGAATTTGAAAGCATTACCCTTTGGGCCATTGTGGCTAAGGGGTTTTGGGAAATGTCATCTAAATAATATATTTTCCAAGCTCTGCAAAGAACACTGATTTGTTTGCGGATTTCTGAATCAATTTTCCCCTTAACTCTTTGATGAACTGTCTAAATAGAGTTGTATAGTACCTTAGCAATATCAGTAGATTAACCAGTCAGTAGATTGATCAAAAGTACTTGCAGAAGCACTTTCCACTGGTGTAAAACCATAACTGGATGCAATCCTTGAAAAAAACAAAACACAGAAGAATGCTTGTATTTTCTCTCTCTTTCTGGGATATTTGAGAACATTGTAGAATTTCATTCTGATGATCTTGCATAGAGACATGAGCACAGAGAGAGTCAAGTATGAGCAATCCTCTCTATATGTTTGCCACTATTATATGACACAGAACGGAAAAGCCATAGAGAAATTGGTAGGACTAAAGGCAAGCACAATTCTCTCTTGTGCACCTAATGATTTTTTTAGTATGGTATTCCACATGTTTTTCCTTCAGTCAATATCACTTTTGAGTATTTATTGTATTTTCCCGTTTATAAGATGACCCAATGTAAGACAACCCCCCCCTTTTCTAACCCCAAATTAGAAAAAGCAGGGAACAAAGTGACTGACACTTTTCCTTGCCTTTTGAGAAGGCACAGAGCCTAGCAAAAAGGAAGGGAGCAAGGCCTCCCCTTCCTTCTTGCTAAGCCGTGTGCCTTTGCAAAAGGCAGTGGTAAAGATCTGCCTTCCATGTATAAAACGACCCTCAATTTTTTTCTCAAATTATTTAAGAAAAAAGTGTCATTTTATACACGAAAACATACGGTAGTTTGAAATGAAGCACAAGCTATTCAACTAGTTTGGATGAATCTTACTCCTGTAGCAAGAGTTTGCCCTCTTTGTGGCAACAAAATAGTTGTCATGGGTCCCTAATACCACATTCATTCATTGCATGCTGCCATAGAACATTGCCTCTCTGAAGCAAGTGCTTATCTCTGCTGGGCTTCAGAGCAAGGGAAATATTCTGTAGCTGCACAATGGGTCCCCAGCTACGTCTCAATCCATCTACTCTTACAA